CTGCCCAGGCTGGTCTTGAACTGGGCTTAAGCAACTCCCCCACCCCTATGGAATTGCAAGGTGTTGAATGATTTTTTTTTTTTTTTGAGACAGAGCCTCAAGCTATTGCCCTGGGTAGAGTGCTGTGGCATCACAGTTCACAGCAACCTTCAACTCTTGGGCTTAAGCAGTTCTCTTGCCTCGGCCTCCCAAGTAGCTGGGCCTACAGGTGCCCACCACAACACCCTGCTATTTTTTGGTTGTAGTTGTCATTGCTGTTTGGCAGGCCCTGGCTGGATTCGAACTCACCAGCTCTGGTGTGGTGGCTGGCACCTTAGCCGCTTGAGCTACAGGCACCAAGCCCCAAGGTGCTGAATGATTACAGGCATGACACCCAACTCAGCCATTTTTATTTTCAATTTTATTGTTTTTCGGACTAATCAAGGCTTGCCACCTGTAGCACAGTGGTTATGGCACCGGCCACATGCACTGAGGCTGACAGTTTGAACCAGGCCCAGGCCAGCTAAAACAACAATGACAACTACAACAACAAAAAAATGGACCTGGTGTTGTGGCAGGTACCTGTGGTCCCAGCTACTTGGGAGGCGAGGGAATTGCTTAAGCCCAAGAGTTTGAGGTTGCTGTGAGCTATGACACTACAGCACTCTACTCAAGGCAACATAGTGAGACTCTGTCTCTAAAAAAAAAAAAAGACAGTTAGGTGCAGTAGGGAGAAGGGGGGACAGAGTAGAACAAGGAGTTCTATCTGTACCTGTGAACCATCAACTGAGATTAACTCACTACCTTCAGACCAGCCTATTTTTAATTTATTCTAAGTACTCCCTGGATTGCTACAAACCATTAATTTCCAGACTTCTGAAAGAGTTGACTTCTGTTGCTGTTTGTTTTTGCCAATTTTCTTTTTCATTGCTTTTATGAAGGAGAGGATTTGGGGGGTTCTTACTCCACTATTTTTGTTGACATCATTCTCTATTGTCTTTTTTTTTATTTACCGACATTAAAATGTTCACACAGAATCTATTACTTTTTACGACACGTTTAGAGTTCGGGGTTGACTTCGTGGCTCTCATTGTACACCACCCACACACAGTAAAAAGCAAATGAGAGCTGGAAGGAAATGGTTGTTCTACAAAAGCAGTCTGCAGAGTGAGTCGCGGGTGAGGGCAGGGCTTTCCCACTCTCTGTGGAGTTGGACCAAGGCGAGTCAGAACCAGTTTCTTCTTCTTTTTTTTTAATCTAGTTCATCATCGCATGTGGTCCTACCTACTGCAGGAAGCTAACTCACACATAACTTGCTGTGCAAGTTCAGCAACCCAAGCTGCTCTATACCCTGTTCAACAAGAACACTGATGATCACTGATCACTCTGGCCAGTGGCTAATTACTGAGAGTTTCCAAACTCACAGTCATCAAATGGTAACAAAGTGCACCAAGCAGCAAACTGCCAGTAGCACTTCACTAGGAAATAACCTTGAATAAGCTAGTACTGCCCTCCATGACCACATTTTAAAAAATATCTGTATTGGTTTTCTCTTAAGTTCAAGCATCATGGAAATATGTAATATGGAAGGTAAGGACTTCGCATATTCCCACAGATACACAGATGTCCACTGTTAATATGTGTGGACCTACACATACGTATATATGCTACCAGGTTTTTCTACTCTTACGCAATTATATGTTTGCTTTATAAAAATGAACTCAATACTATACATATTTTGCAGCCTTACTGTACTTTTTCCTGAATGATATATGTACATTTTCTTCATTCTTAACAACCATAGATTATTCCATTTGGGGTACTATAATCCAATATTTGTTAACCAGTCCTGGTTGGTGGACACATAGGAACAGGTTCCATTTTTAAGCTGAGGTGCGGTAGAACCTCCATAATTGACACCTCCTTACATTGACCACCTCCTCAAGTGGACCTAATTTTCATAGACTGGACATAACCACATGTACGTATCCGTACAATAGGCCTAGTTCCTTATATTGAACACCTCTGAGTGTTGACCAGTTTACTACTGTCCCTTCAATGGTCGACTTACTGAGGTTCTACTGTATTTATAATGCACTGGAACATTATAGGTGACAACTCCATACTGTGCACCGAACCAGAGCAAAACTTGCCATCCAAGTGATTTCTTTCTTTCTTTGTCCTTCTTTCTTTCTTTCCCTCCCTTCCTTCCTTCCTTCCTTCCTTCCTTCCTTCCTTCCTTCCTTCCTTCCTTCCTTCCTTCCCTCCTTCCTTCTCTCTCTCTCTCTTTGCACAGAGTCTCACTCTATCACCCTGGGTAGATAGCCATGGTGTCATAGCTCACAGCAACCTCAGACTCTTGGGCTCAAGCAACCCTTTTGCCTCAGCCTCTGGAGTAGCTGGGACTACACTGGGTGACCACAATGCCCGGCTAGTTTTTCTATTTTTTAGTACAGACGGGTCTCGCTCTTGCTCAGGCTGGTCTCAAACTCCTGAGCTCTAGAGATCTGCCTACTTTGGCCTTCTGAGTGTTGGGATTACAGGTGTGAGTCACAGGGCCCAGCCTCCAAGTGATTTGGTCAACACTTTAGGATGCTTCCGATCTCTTGCTGGTACAATGAATCTGTGTGTTTGGCCTCTGGGTACCTGTATGCATCTGTGCACACCTGAAGAATAAATTCCTGTGAGAGGATCTGTCGTCCAAAGAAAGCATTTGAATCTACACTGCCACCCATGATGTCTTCGTCCTTCTGAGCTTGGGTTTGGATTGGGGGAATACAAAAGTCATCATGAACCCAACCAAGATATAAAGTTCATCTCTTCGCAAATGTTGCAAATGTTGCAAATGTTCCAAATTTCCAATTTGCAAATTGGTAAATGTTCCAAAGCCAAGACATTGGCTATTCCTATGTTATGCAAAAATTTGTAGGGCCAGGCACGGTGGCTCACACCTGTAATCCCAGCACTCTGAGAGGCTGAGGTAGGTGGATTGCCTGAGCTAACAGGTTCAAGACCAGCCTGAGCCAGAGCAAGACCCTGTCTCTAAAAAGTAGCCAGGGATTGTGGTAGGCACCTGTTGTCCCAGCTGCTTGGGAGGCTAAGGCAAGAGAATCACTTGAGCCCAAGAGTTTGAGGTTGCTGTGAGCTATGACGCCACACCGCACTCTACTGAGGATGACAAAGTGATACTCTGTCTCAAAAAAAAAAAAAAAAAAGAATAAAAGAAAGAAAGAAACTTGTGAGGCCAATACTTGAAAGGAGCCAGAAATATTGTGAGCACCTAACTTATTCTTCAAAATACTTTTCTTCTCAAGTCTGCTGGGAACATCCAACAAGAAAACAGGAGATGCCATATTTTTTGCAAGATAAATTATAAAATATAAAATCTTCCCTTAGGGTATCTTTGAAGCATTGGGGTGCCTGAAAGCCATATACAGTTTCTGGGGAAACAGTCTTTTAGGAAATGTAGCATAACCATTCCAGGAATGGATTAACAAGCTATGGTGTATGTATACCATGGAATACTATTCAGCCATTAGAAGAGATGGAGACTTTACTTCTTTTGTATTAACCTGGATTGAGGTGGAACACATTCTTCTTAGTAAAACATCTCAAGAATGGAGAAGCAAGAATCCAATGTACTCAATTCTAATATGAAGGCAGTAGATGAGCTAATATGTGGTGGAGGGTCGGGAATGAGGGAGCAGGGCCAGGAGAGAAGGGAAGGGGTTGGGGAGTCATGGTGTACTATGCACCTCTCGGGAGTGGGACACAATTATAAGAGGGAATTTACCTAACAAATGCAATCAGTGTAAACTAATTCTTCGTACCCTCAATGAATCTCAAACAATAAAAAAAAAAAAATTAGGAGCAGTGCCTGAGGCTCAGTGAGTACAGAAGGCAGCTATACTGGGCCACTCAGGTGCCAGCCCCATATACCAAGGGTGACAGGTTCAAACCCGGCCCTGGCCAAACTGCAACAAAAAAATAGCCGGGCATTGTGGTGGGCGCCTAAAGTCCCAGCTACTCGGAAGGCTGAGGCAAGAGAATCGCCTAAAGCCCAAGAGGTGGAGGTTGCTGTGAGGTGTCATGCCACGGCATTCTACCGAGGGCAACAAAGTGAGACTCTGTCTCTAAAAAGAAAAAAAAAATTAGGCTCGGCGCCTGTAGTACAGTGGTTATGGCACCAGCCACATACACTGAGGCTGGCAGGTTTGAACCCGGCCTGTGCCAGCTAAACAACAATGATGACAACCTCAACAAAAAATAGCTAGGTGTTGTGGCAGGCACTTATAGTCCCAGCTACCTGTGAGGCTAAGGCAAGAGAATTGCTTAAGCCCAAGAGTTGAAGGTTGTTGCTGTGAACTGTGATGCCACAGCACTCTACTGAGGGTGACATAGTGAGACTGTCTCAAAAATAAAAAAATTTAAATTTAAAAAACAAAAAGGAAATGTAGGCTCGGTGCCTGTAGCTCAAGGAGCTAAGGGGCCAGCCACATACACCAGAGCTGTGAGGTTCGAATCTAGCCCGGACCTGCCAAACAACGACAACTACAAACAAAAAATAGCCGGGCATTGTGGCGGGAGCCTATAGTCCCAGCTACTTGGGAGGCTGAGACAAGAGAATCACTTAAGCCCAGGAGCTGGAGGTTGCGATGAGCTGTGATGCCATGGCACTATACCCAGGGCGACAGCTTGAGGCTTTGTCGTAAATAAATAAGTAAAGGAAGGAAGTGTAGCGTAGACACTAACAATTCTATAAGAGCTCCCTATTGACATAACTCTTAGAATGTGAGTGAGGAACATCTGACATGTCACGGGAACCTATCCAACCGACCTGTGGGTGCCCTGAACTGGCCTCCACCCCACAGAGGAGGAACTGGGGACATGCACAGTATTTCCATTGAGAAATACTTGGCCTAGTGTTTCCATCCAAAGAGAAATAAATCCAGGACTCAATGTGCACATTTCATGTTTTTTTATTGAGATTTGGGAAGGGTCCATGGTCGTGGCAGGTGTGCTCACTGTCCCAACTTGCCCAGGCCCTCTGCTGCATGGGTGACGGCATTTGTGACTGTGTTGGTCACTGTCTCAGTGACGTCTTTCACCACTTTGTCCCCTGATTCCTGGGCCTTCTTTAGGGCATCACCAATGGCTGTTGGGAAGAAGGAGGAAAAATGTCCAGGTGAACCACTCACTGGGTTCGTATCCCTTTCAAGGGCCTGTGCACATGGCACTTACTGAACTGGTCCCTGGAGCAGCCAATGGCAGCAGGACTTCTAAAGGAATGAATTCAGATCTGATCTACATCCCCCTCCCAAGATGCATTGCATCAATTGAGCAAGACTGAACATACTGAAATCCTCACCCCTGGCTGGGCTCCCGTACTTAGTGGTTAGGGCACTGCCACATGCTCCAGGGCTGGTGGGTTCTAACCCAGCCCAGGCCTGCTAAAAAAAAAAAAAAAAAAAAAAGAAAGAAAGAAATCCTCACCCCTGACATGATGGTATTAAAAGGTTGGGATTAGAGGCCTCACAAAAGAGACCACAGAGAGCTAGCTCCTTCCACCATGAGAGGACACAGCTGAAAGGTGCCATCTATGTGCCGGGAAGGGGCCCTCATCAAACACCAAATCTGCTGGTGCCTAGATCTTGGATTTCCCAGCCTCTATAAGGGTGAGAAACATGTTTCTATTGTGTGTAAGCCACGTAGTTTATGGGTTTTGTTTTTTTTAAGAGACAGAGTCTCACTTTATTGCCCTCGGTAGAGTGCTGTGGCATCACAGCTCACAGCAACTTCCAACTCCTGGGTTTAGGCGATTCTCTTGCCTCAGCCTCCCAAGTAGCTGGGACTACAGGCGCCACCACAATGCCTGGCTATTTTTTTGTTGCAGTTTGGCCGGGACTGGGTTTGAACCCATCACCTTTAGTATATGGGGCCAGCGCCCTACCAGCTGAGCCACAGGCACTGCTCCCACACCCAGCTATTTGTTATTGTTGTTGCAGTTTGGCCGGAGCCGGGTTTGAACCCTCCACCCTCAGTATATGGGGCTGGGCTATAGGCGTCGCCCTAGTTTATGGTATTTTATTGAATAGTCTGAGCTAAGAAAATTGCCATCTAACAATTTTTTTTTCTTTTTTTTTTTTGAGACAGAGTCTTAGTATATTGCTCTCAGTAGAGTGCTATGGCATCACAGTGCACAGCAATCTCAAACTTTTGGGCTTAGGGCAGCTCCTGTGGCTCAATGAGTAGGGTGCCAGCCTCATATATCAAGGGTGGCAGGTTCAAACCTGGCTCTGGCCAAACTGCAAACTTGACAGGTGCCTGTAGTCCCAGCTACTTGGGTGGCTGAGGCAAGAGAATTACTTAAGCCCAGGAGTTGAAGGTTGCTGTGAGCTGTGACGCCACGGCACTCTACCAAGGGCAACAAAGTGAGACTCTGTCTCTACAAAAAAAAAACAAAAAAACTCTAGTGCTTAAGCAATTCTCTTGCCTCAACCTCCCAAGTTGCTGAGGCTACAGGTGCCTACCACATTTCCCGGCTATCCATCAAACAATTTAATAAATTCATGTATTTACATTTAAGTACTTGGCAGGGCATGATGGCTCACACCTATAATCCTAGCACTTTGGGAGGCTCAGATGGATGAATTGCTTGAGTTTAGGAATTTGAGACCAGTCTGAGCAGTGGTCTCAAACCACTCTAGTAGAAGAGAAAAAGTAGCTAGACATAGTGGTTCCCACCCGTAATTCTAGCACTCTGGGAGGCTGAAGTGGGTAGACTACGGGAGCTCAGGAGTTCAAGACTAGACTGAGCAAGAGTAAGACCTTGTCTCTAATAAAAATAGAAAAAAAAATAGAAAAAACTAGCCGGGTCTTGTGGGGGGTGCCTGTAGTCCCAGGTACTCCAGAGGGTAGAGAATTGCTTGAGCCCAAGAGTTTGAGGTTGCTGTGAGCTATGACGTCACAGCACTCTACCTAGGCCAACAAAGTGAGACTCTGTATCAAAAATAAATAAATAAATAAAGATTTAAGTCCTTGATCCATCTGTAATCTATTTTGTTGAAAAGGAATGAAGCACACATATGCTTTATACATACTTCTAGTCAGGGTACACACGCACACACATAAAAATTTATATAAACACAGGCTTGGTGCCCGTAGCACAGTGGTTATGGCCCCAGCCACATACACTGAGGCTGGTGGGTTCGAACCCGGCCCAGGCCAGCTAAAAAAATGATGACAACCTCAACAAAAAATAGCCAGGCATCATGGCAGGTGCTTGTAGTCCCAGCTACTTGGGAGGCTGAAGCAAGAGAATCATTAAAGCCCAAGAGTTTGCGGTTACTGTGAGCTGTGATGCCACAGTACTGTAAGGAGAGCAACAAAGTGAGGCTCCGTCTCAAAAAAAAAAAATGTATATAAACACAGTTTTACATGTTCAATGTTTTGTCCCAGTACACTGTCACATGGTCTTTTGTGACCTTGTCTTTTTAACATTCCACAGAAAGGACTACCTAAACGGAGCCCTAATGCATAGTGTAATCTGTGACCTCAGATAAGTGTAGATAATTGCATATTAACTGGAAGGATGCGGCATCCGGGGCAGGTTTGACCTAGTTAGTCAAAGAAGGGGTTGGCCCCAGGCTCCCTGCCTCCTTCCCACCTCACCTTTCTCTCCAACCTCCTTTGCATGGTCTACCACCTCCTTCAGCACTTCCTCCACCGCGTGAACTGAAAAGAGATAAGTTCGAAGTGAGTGGGGATGCAGGTCTACTCCTCACGGTGGGCCGAGACGCCTACCGATATCCAGGGTGGGGCTCTCTGCCACCTCTAGCCAGGATAAGCTAATTCCCAAGAAAAACTCTGAGCTGGCTTCTTTCAGATGCTGGGAGACACACTATCTTGAGGAGCTGGCCCTCCTGCCATGTGGGACAGTGGAGCCAGGTCACCCTCCTCTCAGAATGTGCTGGCTGGCTGCCTTAGGTTAAATCCTGAAGTCTCCTCCAGCAAAACCAAGTTCCCTGAGGCAGTTCTTCCAATAAGAGGGAATTCTGTGCCCTCCTCACAGCTATTTCGTTCAAGTGGCAGCATGCTAGAACGAAAAGATTTTGGAGTCATAAGAACTGATTTTGACCCGGTGCCAAGGCTCACACCTGTAATCCCAGTACTCTGGAAGACCAAGGCAGCTGGATCTCCTGAGCTCAGAAATTAGAGTCCAGCCTGAGCAAAAGAGAGACCCCAGGGTGGTGCTCATGGTAGGGTGCCAGCCCCATATGCCAGAGGTGGCGGGTTCAAACCCAGCCCCGGCCAAAAACTGCAAAAAAAAAAAAGTGAGACCCCCATCTCTACTAAAAATAGAAAAACTCACTGGACATTGTGGTAGGCACCTGTAGTCCCAGCTATTCAAGAGGGTGAGGCAAGAGGATCTCTTGAGCCCAAGAGTTTGAGTTCGCTGGCAACAGAGTGAGACTCTGTACAAAAAAAAGGGGGGAGGGGAATTTGTTCTACTTTCTACTCCACCCTCAACTTCTTGGTTTCCTCATCTGTAAAATGGAAATAATATAAAGGAGTGGTCACCTTGGCTGTAGAATTACAAACAAAATAAAAACATGTCTGCAGCTGTTTTGAAAAAGGCCAGCAAACTCCAGCACAAACTTTTCCACTATAATATCTGACAAGAGAAGGAACCTCGATCTCTGCATAATAAATGGGTTTCCCGGAACTTGGAAGAAATTGAAAATGTCCTTTTTAACTTTGAACAGAATCAGACTTAGTGGCTTCTTAATGAACAAATATTTGAAACTTTAACGTTATGGTAAAAAAAAAAAAATCCATCTTCCTTTTTCTGACAGGCTGCCACGACAAAGAAGAGCTCCCCAGGTTTCCAGAGGGAAGGGCCCAAGCGGCCAGCTGCTTACCCAACACCCAGCCTGCCCCCTGTCCCCAGGAGCCTCCTGTGGGCAGGGCCCTGGGCTGGCCTCCCTCCTGGCCCTCACTCACACCCCAAGGGTGGGCTGCACTAGGGTCACAGCACAACTTCACCCTGAGCGGCCTTCCCCAGGCGTTGCCCTCCCGGCCTTGCACCCCCCAACCCCATCGTGTCCTGGTAGGGCTGGTAGGCCAGGGTTTCCAGCACAACCAAGGTCCTCTGCCTGCTGGAATCAGCTTCCAACATGCCCAGGTGGAAAGGAGCCCCCGAGTCCTTACCAGCTTCCTCAGTGGCCTTCTCAGTGCGGTAGGTCAGGCCGTCAGCAGCAAGTTTCCCCAGGCCTCCCAGCATCATGCAGCAACAGGTGATAGCCAAACAGGATGCTAGGGACTGGCCCAACGCGCTTTTATAGATGCCTCCCCCAGCTGGCTGGGTTCTGGGGCACCAAGCCTTGGCCACAGCCCAGTAGGACAGGTGAGTCAGCACAGGTGGCGGCAGCAGGAAGAGCCTGGGTGGAGCCACCCCAGGAGTGGATGGCCACTTTGCCACTCTGGCAGCATGAGATCCTCAGACCCTGTGCTGAGTGAGAGGTCTAGGGATAGAGTCTGGGTGAGGGTCCTCAAGAAGGAGAGAAGGAGGCCAGGCCTGGTGACTCATACCTGTAATCCTAGCACTCTGGGAGGCTGAGGCAGGTAGATTGCTTGAGCTCAGGAGTTCAAGACCAGCCTAAACAAAAGGGAGACCCTTCTCTAAAAATAGCCAGTATTGTGACCAGCACCTGTAGTCCCAGCCACTTGGGAGGTTGAGGCAAGAGAATC